TCCAAAACAAGTGTATGGCCCTTCTGATTGCCCTCAGTGAATGAACAGTTTGCAATCAGATCTTTAGCCACTAAAGACTAAAGTGATATATTTATAGTTCACATTAAACAGCTATCAAAACCATTTTGGTTTCAATTGGATTATCAGCCAAAAAACAAAAGGCTTTGTATAGCTTTGTCACATCACTATGCTGACCGCCTCTCCATGACTACACGCAAATGGTACTTTGAGTTACCGGTAGCTGTAAAAAAAGAATAAAGGGACACAAGCTCCCAATGAATTTCATATAACATAATGAAAAGAACGTATGATAGCTTGAAGGAGGCTGTTTTCCTGAGGAATTATTTCTATAGGAACACATATTGTGTAAAGTCATGCTTTAAAATTGTCCTAGTTTGCATGTGAGCATTCAGTACCGGTTGCACCACTTAAAGGCAATTTAGGATTACAGGTTTAAAGGTTGTATGGGGAAAGTAGTCCTCTTGAAAGCACAAATTCAAAGCCCGTAATAGAAGGAAAAATCAAGTCGTATGAAGATTTTGTTAGGAAAATAAAAAAATGAGTGATTCTCTTATTTTGATTGACACACTAGATAAATTAATGGAGAAGTGCTTGAGGAAAGAAACAGAATTTAAGAATATTAATGATGAGTATAAATAAAGGCATGTTATCTACAGTATATCAGATACTGATAGAAAGTAGAAGTTTAAAAGAAGAATTGCTCAGGATGGAACAAGAATAGGAATATAATGGATAACATTTTGTGGTATTTATGGACAAAAGGAATGAAAATGTCACACTGCATTAAGCCTAACTGAAGAAGTGTTTATATAATGGCATTTAACTCCATGGCATCTGACTCCATAGAGGCTAAAATAAATGTATTCAAATATATCTGCTACCTGTTGGCACTGTGGTTGTATAGTAGAAAGTGTAGTTCGAAAAGTTGTGCTTAGGACAACTGATTTAACATCTCCTAATGGATAGCAGTGTTTTAATAACCCAATATTGGTGGGAAAGGAGGTTTCCATCAATAAAGCAGTAGAAGAAAAATGCTGGTTATTATTAAGTTGTTTAAAACTCATATATGCATTGCAATACAGTGAAGGTAGAATTTAATATATTCGAAATGTTGAGATGATATACGTTGTTTTTTTTCCAAAACAGGAAAAATAATGATTTAAAAATGTGTAATCGAGTTAAGATGATGGCATACTGTGGTACCCCAGTGAATACCTGGTTCAGATATAACAGCCTAGGTATCAAAGCATGGTTTCATCCCAGCTTGTTTTAGCTGCTCATAATACAACAGTTCCTACCTCAGAATAGGGTTTTGATTGAATTAAATACATGGTGCTCTATATCACCATAACATGATATCATTTTACAATTGTAGTTTATGGATTTGTGGTTTATTTCTTGGATGAAAACTTGAATAGATGAAAGGAAAGGAAAAAGGTGATAGAAAATATTCCAGTAAAATGCAACTGGCAGATGAAAACGGTAGATGGAAGTGAAGCAGGAGCCTCACATATGGAACAGGATTAGCCCTACCATGTAAATGAAGAACCCCTAATGAAGAACCCCCAAACCTTAAAAACAAATCTCTTTAGAATAGTTTCCTTGGGACTGAACTAGATTTTTCAGAAGATCTGCAGCTACCACAACTGTACATCTCTTCCCCCTCTTGCTCATATGTCATTGTTAAAACACCTGTGAGTTCCTAGAAGAGCATGCTGAGTGAAGAGGTGGATTGTTTCATCTGGCAAGCCAAAATGTTTACACTGACAAGAGTGATCAAAAGAGCATGCAATTGAATTCCTCCCGCATATGATAATAATTATAGTGTTATTTGCTCCCTAGGAGGGGTGCTCTGTGGGATTTTTGTTTTCACATCAACTGCCAAGATGGGTACTATGCACCTATGGGTGGGGAGGACATTTCGAGTTCTGATAAAGTATTTTGGGCCAGCCATGCTTCTGATTACACAGTGAAATTATGTCACAGCAGGCACTGGATCTAGATAAGGAAGAAAGGGTAGAAGCTGTGTCAGGAAATTATCAACACACTTGAAAAATTGCCTTAGATGCCAGCATCCTTCAGAGTTGAGATTGGTCTGCTGTAGTTTCACGCATTCCAGCAATCAACAGAGTGTTGAAATTAGCATAATTGTAACATGTGTGACCTTGTCCATCATAACTTACAACTGAAGTTTTTGCTGGGCCTGTTTTTGCTGGTCTTCAGAGAACTAGAGTGACATCACAATGGAAGCAGGACTTCCATTCCTCTCATCACCCTTGCACCCCACAAATCTGCTCTGGAGAGTTCCCCTAACCCTCTGTAGCAGATTTAGGGGGCATGCATGGGCTTGCAGAGAGAGGGGGATTTGTTCAAGCTGTGATATCTGCTCTTAGGTTTTTGCCATTTGTTTTGATTTTATGCTATGCACCAGAAAGGTAGAGCCTGTAGGCAATTATACAACTTCAAACCTACTTTAACATTTTGAAGAAGCAAAAGGAATCCATCTAGTTTATCAATTCAAATATATGTTCTTCGGTACAAGACAGAATCAGTTGCCATTGAAAACAATACAATGCCAATATGACTCAAAAGAAGAGAGCTCAGGTTCTAAATTACTTCGACATGGTATGCTCTTTTGGATTCATTTCCCCAACACAAAATAACACAGATTTGATAATACAACCTTCAGTTTGCTTTGCAGCATATTGCTTTCCAAAAAGCAAAACAAAACACATAAAACATACAAACATTGCCCATATATTTGATTACACATGTACACATTCAAAGAAAAGGACTGAGAACAATGTTTCACTCACAGGACAGGGCTTTTCAACTCCAACCTCCTCACTCCAGCTTCCAGCACCACTGAAAGCCAATTTTGAGGTTTGTGAATGCTGTGGAATATGGCACAGGACACAGTGCATGGAGCAGGGAATCTACATAAATCATGGGTCTCCCTTATGGGAGCAGAAATGCCATTCAGCTCACAGTAGCTACCTCTGAATCCAAGCCAGGATTTCCCTTTTAGATAACGAAGGTTAAGATTTCATTCTATCACATTCATGCACATTATCAGTTTTCTCTTGTAGTGTAACAATGTTAATGCTGGTGAACAGCGGAGATTCACAGTTTCCCGCAATAGAGCTTTTTTTTTTGAAACAGTGGTAATACCTGCACAGATGATACAAATGTGTGTGTGCATAGGGGAAGTATCAAAGTTTCACTTGGAAATAAAGGTGTCAGCTTCCCCCTCTAATTTAATAGCTTTTTGTTCTAAAATGTCACATTTCCCAAACCTTTGAAGATACTGCCCTGATAAAGAGTTCCATGCTTCATGTAGTGCAGGAATTCCCAAACTGTGGTCCGTAGACTCCTAGTGGTCTGCGACCTTCACTTGGGTGGTCTGTAGCATGCCCACATTGAATATTCATACTGATTTTTAATTGTATTTTTGTTGCTTCTTTTATTTTTATTGTATGGAATGCAAACTGTAATAAAATAAAATACAATAGAAGCAATAAAATGCAATTAAAAATCAAAGAGCACCTAGCACAGCATGGCACGATGGCTACAACAGATAGAAAAATCATTAAGTAGTCTGCTAAGACAATCTGCAACTTTTAAGTCTTCTGTGGGAAAACAAGTTTGGGAACTACTGCTGTAGCATACAAACAGAGCTCTAATGAACAGAATGCTTCCTCATTCAGAAAAGAACGCCGAGATCTGTTTCCTCCATTGAAATAAATGGGGAAGCTGTTGCAGCCATGTCTTATCACTTAGATATTAGGTAAACAATTACCATCTTCTCAAACAAAGAAAATGGAAAAGATCGATGCATTATAGAACCATTTGCCTAAATGCTCTGGGGAACATGCAAATCATTTTGAAAGTCCAAAGTTCATACAAAAATGAGCTCAATTTACATACGATTAACGGACACAGAGTTTCATTGCAACCCCACGTTATATTTCAGATAACAAAGGTTCATTTGTACAATATCTATCACTTAAAGATTATCCATTATTCATTATCCTTATTGCCCAGAGGTCACATAAGAATAAAGCACTAAGGACATATTTACATAAGTTGCTAGACTGGGTATGGATGAAAATAAAACAAATACAGGGGGAAAGAATTTTGAATCACAGATAGAGTTATCACAATGCATAGTTGTACAAACACTGTAGCCCTATTTGGGTGCTCCCAATACTTGTTTAAAAGAATGGGGCTATGTCTGCTGATCCTGCCCTTGCTGGCTGATACACTGTAGAAAGGTGCCTGTTCTACGTACAGTATGTAGGGTTCTCCTGCAATGTGGAACCCAGATCTCCCCTCATCATGGGGAGAATCCATGTGTGTAGAGGGTGTGTCCTCTGCAGACATGCTCTCACATGCATGCATGGTAAAGGGCAAGGACACGATAGGAGGATTTGAAGCTGGCTCTCCCTCTCATATGATTGCTAATTTTGTTGATGGGCAGACATCAAATAGGGCTTGACAGAAAATGAATTCCAAATGTTTGCCCCCAAAACTCTTTTTTTTTTTTTTGCTGAGAAATATGAGAAAGGTAATGCTTCATTTTGAATTCTACTAACTAGTAAACGTATCACATACTGAAATGTGAGCCTTAGAGTTCCAAGCACAACTTTTGTGCACAAAGACATATTAGTTTCGTAGATGGGTGCAGGTTCAAATTCAACTGCTTTGTATCATCTTGTAGTTGTGCATTAAAAAAAAATGATTTGTTTCTGAGTTGTTCTGTGCACCTTTTCAATCTGATTTCTGAGCAACTTTATATAAAATTGAGCTTTGTGTGCCCCATTCACTATCATGGGGAGTTTAAGAACAGCTATAACATTTTCTCCTTTCTCCCAAAGTAGATGGAATTTACAGGATCAGGAGCCCCAACCCAACCTCCCCCAAAGCAAAAACCTCTTTGTACAATAGGATGGGCAGGGGGCCCTGCTGAGCACCAAGTGTGTGTGTGTCTGAGGGCACCACACCAGGGACCCCAGTTCTAATACCTACAATTTTTACCTTTTTAATAAAATACATTTAAGCAAACAGCTTAGTCCTTCTCTCAGGGGAAGTGTCTACTTTCAGTGCCTAAAAGGCTGTTCTTTTTTATTGCATTGATTTAGTGTTAACGAAACCCTCGATTCATACATTCATTAAAGGGCAGGAATAGATTTTAGCCACAAAGTACTGAGACAATGTAAAACCCTTTGAAACAGAAGGATGGGTGCTTCTCCCCAAACACATTAAGAAACACATGGATTGGACTTGCTATATATAGGTAGATCAATGTATCTTAGGAGCAATAGTATTCTGCAAGTAGAAAGCCATCACCTAATATTCAATATCCTAGGTGCCAACAGTCCACACAATGTGGGGCATTTATAAATGTGATCCAACTAAATCAAAATGTTCTATTGCCATTGCCCATCAAAATAAACCACCATTTTAATCAGGTTTCTGCTCACTGACAATAGTGGCCAATATGGTGGGGCAGTGCCACAGATTTGCATCCAAACACCAGTGTTGCTACAGGTTACTTGGCTAGTGCTGGGGCAGGGACGGAGCAAGGTTAGGGCTGTGCAGGTGTGCTGGTGGAAGTGCTGGATTGGCTCTGCCAGCCCCTATCTTCCCACTGCTCTGCCCCAGAGCTATTCAGGTAAGCTGCCTCACCTCACTGGCTGCTACTGCTCATTCCTTCTGAAAGTGTGGAGAACATGGAGCACCACATCTGTCATCAACTCCCAAACTGTATGCACAACCCCTTCGGAAGATAATGAACACTGACAACTCTGAAGACATCGACAACCTTCTAGTCGCTCTCCTGCTTTCTCTTCTTTCACTTTCCCAACAGATGAAAGGTTCTGTCAGCCTTCATGATTCATTCTGCAGCCTTCTGTTGTACTGTGGTCTTGATAATCATGCTTTTATGTTTATTGTTAAAACATGAAGTAATCAAAAGCATTTGTATTCATCAACTTAGAAAGAAATATGAACTGAAATGTTTGCTTAGATCTCTGACCTTAAAATATTTGTGCCCCAATAAAAGGCTGCAGTATCATCACAACATAATGACATAGGGGAGGTGCATTAATATCACCACTGAGAAACTCTATTCTATGGGCTTAAATTCAAGCCCAAAACAGCTGTAGCCTGATCTAGCAATTTTCAAACATTTCCCACCAGTAAGTGTCCCAGTACTGTCTTAATTGTGCACACAGCTCAGGGATCACTTCTGAGACTGAATATTCCTATCATAGCAGCCTGCTAATGGCTGAATCATTGTCAGATGGTTACATCTGAGAAGTAGATAATTTGCAACTGTCAGAAATACAAGGCTAACAATAGAATTCTATGCACCCAGCTACCCAGAAGTCCCACTTAGTTCAGTGGTGATTACTCCCAGGTATAAGATTGTCACCTAACTGATAAATCTTTTACTCTTTTCAAGGCATTAGACAAAATATCTACCTACTGTTGAAACAGTGGTCCTATCAGATAAACAACAACAAAAAAGATTGCTTATTGCTTATGGGAGGGACCAAGCTCAGAAATGGAGCATGAGCTTTGTTATGCAGAAGGCCCCAGGCTGAACTGGTGGGATCTCCAGTTAAAAGCATCAGGTAGCAGTTGATGTGGAAATATTTCTGCATCCTGAAATGATGAGCAGCCTCTGCTAGATGGACAAATAGTCTTACCTGGTATAAAGCTGCTTCCTTTGTCCCCAAATGGAAACAGACTTTCATTTGCTGCCTTCTGAATCTTCATTTCAACAAAGCACTCAGTTCGTATTTAATTCTGACTGTGTGGTTTCAAAGCATGCCACTTAATACTTCGCCAAGGATAGAAAATGTTCACTTTGTCAATCAACTAGCATTCTAGAGTAGATAGAGGAAAATGCACATTTTTTAAAAAATGTATTTGTTTACCAAGGCCAGATTTCAAATAATTAGGAAAGTAGTTCCATGAGCTGAACGGGTCTTTAGACTTATTTTTACTCAGTAGAAGCCTTCCATGCTTCATAGAAAACTGCTTTTGGAACTGTACCTTGTACACAGTATATAAAATGGCATAGAAGGTCACATGTGTATTTCACTAAAGAGTTGAACTCACAAATATTTTTTTCTTTGAATCCTATATTGAATCTTAGCTAGAAATTTTTTTTCTAAGCCTGTGTTCTCCCAGAAAGAAACTATCTGAGCCAGTGTAAACACCATTACTCTATGTATTGGCCAGTGACTGCTGTATTACAAACAAATAAAAAATGGGGGGAAGTTTTAAAAAGAAATGGTAAACAATAAATTACTATTCAGTGCACATAACCAGCTATATACATAGCAGGATTTCCAACAAAATATAAATAAGATAGCATGCCAGTGGCTCAGGAGGAATAATTTGTGCAACCATGGTGCACCAGTTTCACATACAGATCTCTAATAAGTGTCCACATAAGTTACTTCTCAGTTTTTCTCAGTACACATTGCAAAAAATGATATTTGTGTTTGCATTTGATGAAAATATAACAAGAAGTCACCATAGCGCTGATTGCTTTAACAAAATAATTAAACTTCTGTTCAGGCTGCCAGCTCTTAATTCCTTTTCAAAGTCACATCTATATAAAATAAAATGATCACCTCTCCAAATAAGTCAACAACACAGAACATGGCCAATGTCCATGACATCATTAGTCTTTTTTAATGAGATACCTTTCTGTGGAAAGTAAGGAGAGTTTTGGATGAATGATCCAGAAATAGTGTAAATGGAATATGCTGTATCCAGGAAACAAAGATTTCACATATTCTGGAGGGATTCCCCCCACCATCTTCACTTGGAATAATGGTTTTGTTAGCTTTTAAAAATATATATGTAAAGTGCAAGTAAGGGATAGGAGTTTAATTCCAAAACCATTTTTCTAAATTGCCAACCGACCTGTATTCCTGGTGTCTTTTTACATGGTCACAGGCAAGGCATGCATGTGATTCCCAAAATCGAGGAAGGTGCACTGAAAAATCCTTCCTCCAGTCGAAGTAGCTAACATACAGTTTATCATTTTTGTCGAGCAAAAGAAGATACTCTGAGAGGTCCCTTGGAGAGAGAAAATCCTCCACGTGAATGAAAGAACTAGCAGGGATGTAATTCTCATAGTTTTCTCTAGGAGGACCTAGAACGACTGGCACAGATCCAGCAAGAAAAGCATTGTAAAGCTTCTCTGTGATATAGTCTCTGTGGATAGAATTCTCAAAGGAAAGGTAAAACTTACAAGCGGAGATAGTTGGGATCAAATTTTTATCACTCACATAGTCTCCAAATGCTTGTCCATAGGTATGGATCTCAAGGTATTTACTTAGTTCATTATAATATTTGACCCTAGCATGCTCTGGGTTCCAGTTACTCACCACCCAACACACCAGTCTTTCTTTATTCGGCATTTCAAATGGAAAGGAGCTTGTGCTAACTACCATAAAGCCATAAGGCACTTGAATGTCTGAATCTCGACGATAAGTGAGGGTCAAATTGAATAGATGCTCAATCCCACTCTTTTGTGGAGTGTGTGTTGGTGATTCCAAGTTCATCCAGATCCATTTTTGAAATGGCGGCCTAGGTTGCTGAGGTAAATTAGTCAGATCCCAACTGATATCTCTGTGGTGAATAAGAACGGCATGAGACTGGTTATATAGTGTGCGGTCTGTAGTCAGATGGCACCCGTGGATGTTAAATGTTGGGCAGAATTTCAGATCAAATGTCTGGCCAAACGGCCATACCCATATCAGAATAGTTGTCTCATTGATATAATCATTTTTGGTGGAGAAGAAGTTCTTCATTTTTAGAACAGAGCTGGCTGATTCAATAGGACCAGATATCCAGCTGTTTGTCGGTTTGATATAAATAAGCAGACATGCCATGAAGCATCCCAGCACAATGAAGATAAATAGAAATGGCCGGAAAATTCCTTTGGGTGATGATGTCATAATTTGATCTGTGAAGGGAAGATGGAAATAGGAAGTCATCATCAAGCGTTAAATTATTGTAATGTTACCCCATGGTAACAATGTCATACATTATACATTATTGTTCCACTAAGTGGTGGAACAACACCATTTGAGAAAAATCTGCTTCAGGAATCCTATAAGTAAATAAATACCAGTGGGTAGAGCAGTTGTTCTGCATGCAGGATTTTCCAAGTTCAGTCACCAATATTTCCTAATGAGTTGGGTTTTTTTTGTTGGCAAAATTTTTAAAATATCAGGAAAAAGCAGGTGAAACATTTGCTTGAGCTATACTTGCAATTGGCACATCTCTTTCCATAAGCGTAAATCAATACTTCAAGGGACATTGGAATCTAATTTACATCTCATCTAAGTTACTGTTACTTCTTCCCATATTCCCCCTTGGATAGAGAATATGTCAGATGGATGGAGTGATATGCAAGGAAATCCTTTATCAAACATTTTCTCCACAACCCCTCAATATTCCTGCAAGCAGCTGCCTTAGCAGAAATGAATTAAACTCTGCTAAAGTACCATATTATTCGCCCCATAGGACGCACTTTCCCCCCTCCAAAAATGAAGGGGAAATGTGTGTGCGTCTTATGGGGCGAATGCAGCCTTTCGCTGAAGCCTGGAGAGCGAGAGGCGTCGGTGCGCACCGACCCCTCTCGCTCTCCAGGCTTCAGGAAGCTATCCGCAAGCCTCGTGCGCCTGGCGGGAGGTCCCGCCGGGCGCGCAAGGCTTGCGGGCGGCAGCCTGCAGCCCGAAGCACGGGGCGTGCTGCGGAGCACGCCCCGTGCTTCGGGCAGATGTCCACAGCCTGTTCTGGGGGCTGGGGTCGGGGGAAGCTCGGGCTTCCCCCACGCCAGCCCTGCACCTGGGGGGGGGGAAATAATATTTTTCTTTATCCCCCCCAAAAAAATCTAGGTGCGTCCTATGGGGTGAAAAATACGGTAGATGGGTGGACAACCATCGCATATCATGAAAGGCTAGTGTGCCAACAGTTTTCAGTATGTTGTCTCTACCCTCCCCACCATAAACAAACTTTGTAAGGGAAGTGCATGCTGTTACATTTTTACATGTATTAAATATAATAGTAATAATAAGTTTAATATAATATTTTATGGAAAGAATTGAAGGAGAGTAAAATGACCTGATAGCAAATAAACAGTCTAATATTCTTTTTTCTTTTATTTATTTATTTCAGCAAAAACAATAGTCTTTGTGGCAGCTTAAAGACACAGTAAATTTTAGTCACAGTAAATTATTTTCCCAGGATACTCAAATCACAGTGATTGGGATTTTTATTAAAACCTTATTGCTTGTGTTTGATGCATTTTGTATGTTCTTTTGATACAGAAGATCAATTTAATTAATTAATAAATTCTACAGAAAGGTTTAGTTCAATTTATGGGGATTTCTATCAATAGCTCTTAGCTATGATAGGTACATGGAGTCTTTAATTCATAATACGAGAGACAAGTCCGGTTGGCTGCTGTTGGAAAGAGATACTTGTTGCTTTGTGCAAAACTTTGCTCCTGGTTTCTATACCTTACTACCACCCTTAATGTCCCAAACAAATTTTGATTGCTGCAAACTGGGAGCCCCAGTGAATGCTAACTTTGTACACCCACCATCATGTTAAACTGTGAAAATTTCTACCATTGATGCAGGCCAACACAAGTTCTCATAGTTGTAATCCTCTTGCTAAGAATGAATCTCTCATTCATCCTAACAACATAAACATTTGTGTTTCTTATACAGTGTGAATCATATAAGATATGCTAGTTAAGTTATTGAATATTTATGTTTTCCCAAAAAGATAATACAATCTGAGTAAAAAAGGCAGAACTTCATTTTGTTCTGACTAATTATTTTTAACAAGACACTCTATAAATTTAGTAAAGTGTATTGATTGCTGGAGAAAAGGCAATCCAGAAGAAGAAGAGAAAGAAAAATGTGTCTTTACATTCAGGAGAGAAAAGTCCCACAGAGAAAAATCAATAATGCTCTGTTATGAGAATGAGTCACACAAGTCAGATCATTCACTAGTGATTACAGTGAGAGAAATCAAACATTTGATTGAAGTCAATAGCATAGCTCTCATTGAATTTAATGGTGTTTGATTGCACCCAATAATGGTAGATTATGTCCAACAACTGTACATAAAGCTAAGTACCCCAACAGATCAAAGCAAACAAATATAATGAAAAGGTACCGCAGAAACCAGAAAACTAGAACATATAATATTAAATGTCTTTACAAACATTTCTATTGAAAACTATAATATGTAAAATCTTCCCCTCCCCCTTAAAAAATACTATGAAAATTTGATCTACATCATTGTTTAATACATAAGGTTTAATTTACAAGCCACCATCATCTGTAAGGAAGCTAACTAAAATTTTCCACATCAAATGATTTACTGCTCAGTAATACAGCTATTTTTATTGCAGCTCTTGAAAAACAAACAATACATTTATGTTATGAGTGTATAACAGACAATTGCTTTTGATTTGCTTGAGAATGTAGGATCTTGCAAATAACATCAATGAATGTTGCACTGACTGTAAATATGTGTGGAATAATCAAGTCCAAGGTAAGGTTTCAATGGAAGCTGGAGCCAAAACTAAATGGTTGGTGGTAGATACAGGGACAGGAAACACACATGTTGCGAGAGAAGTTGGGAAGAGGGTCTCAGGAGGAAAGAAGCATGAGAAAAGCTTTTCATGTTCTCAGCATCCATGGCCCAGTGCTACCTGCAGAGCACTCCCTTCTACTCTTACCTAACCCTCCCTCCAACCCAGCCTGGGGATATGGCTTTCCCTTCACCTTCAGACGCAAGGGATGTGTTGTTGTTGTTGTTGTTTAGTCGTTTAGTCATGTCCGACTCTTCGTGGACCCCATGGACCAGAGCATGCCAGACACTTCTGTCTTCCACTGCCTCCTGCAGTTGGGTCAAACTCATGCTGGTAGCTTTGAGAACACTATCCAACCATCTCATCCTCTGTCGTCCCCTTCTCCTTGTGCCCTCCATCTTTCCCAACATCAGGGTCTTTTCCAGGGAGTCTTCTCTTCTCATGAGGTGGCCAAAGTATTGGAGCCTCAGCAAGGGATGTAGCTTCAATGTAACTACAGAATTAACTATGGGTCCTTTAATGATTGCAGGCAGCTATCCATCGTGGTTCTGGAAAAGAGGCTTAGGGATTCTATAGCAGACAGGGTAATGTGGGAATGTTTCCTAAAGGAAAAAAGTTTTGAGGGAAAACTCTCCCCTAAACATTTTAAAGAGCAAAACAGATGGCTCAGCAGAGCTTCTATACTTCCAGTGTTCCAAAGATAGTAATACCTGACTGGAATTCTACATTATTTCAGATAACAAATAGAACAAAATGCTTTATCATCCAAATACGTTTTTTTGGATGGATAATCCTTAGCTGATAAAGTTAAATGAAATGGAATAAATTCCAACTGTTCTGAAACCAGCCTGGCAAACTGAACGTGCTTCTGTAGAAAAGTTCTAATACAATTTCAAAACCAGACTAAATATGATCAGTCTCCCATAAGTCAGTTGGAAAGGTACTTTAAATTTAAGTTTTGTGAAAGTCATGAATATGTAATTGGGAAACTGATGTTGTTTTACCACTCTAGCCATTTCTCCTTTTATTGCACCAGGATTACACACTGTTCCTTTCTTAGCTAAAATAGAGGGCTTTTCTTGGAAGGCATGCTGCCAAGGCAAATCTGTCATAAACTGTATTTTGTAATGTCATTTCTACAAATTCTAAGAATAATCAACACATTTCCATGGCAGTTATTTTTAGCACAAAGTTCTGATTAACCATTGTTGATTGAAGCAAGCCTACATCATAAACAAAGGTTTGAAGTTGGCACGCTTGAGTAAATTGTAGTTAAAACTAACCACAGTTTGGATAAACTGAAGTTTTGGTAAAAAGGGAAGGGACAGCCTGCAGGCTGTATTTGATATAGTGTATCAGTGCTGTATCCCTGTAGAGAATTTGATAATATGTTTCACATATCAGTTTTACAGCCTCAGTTTTCTTCATATTTGTACTTTTGTCTCACATTTCATCAGCATCGAAGCCAATAAAAAGGGATCAGCAATGGTTTATTTAGGTGTGACCATCAGCAATAAGGGTTGTTTCCTCAGAATGTACCTTATGCCAAAAGAAATCTTGTGATTTTGACACATGAGATCTACGAAGGTCAGTGGATAGAGTTCACACTTGGCCATATAGTTTAGATCACCAGTTCAATTGCTTTGGGAACTTGACTATCAGTCATAGTTTGCATTTTTTCATAGTTTCTGAATACCACTTGCTGGAAACCACAGGAGGGGATAGCTCTTCCAGGTCCTACTTTCAGACTCTCTATAGACGTCTGGTTGGCTACTGTGAAAACAGTATGCTAGAATACATGAGCCACTGGACTATTCCAGTAGGTTCTTATGATCTTCTATTTATCATGGGGATGGTTCTATTTAATTGCCATCTCCAAATTTTACTTATGTTCATATTTTCCTTGCCATGCCCACTGGCTTTTATATGTATTCATATTTATATGTGTTTGTCAGGGAACTGACATCGGAGGAAGGGGAGGGGAATTACTCACAGAGGCTGGGAGGAGTCAGCAGCTAAAGCAGGGACCAGCAGGGGAGAGAGGGTACTCTGGAGGAGGATCTCATGAATGCTGAGAGAGACGCAGCAGGCAAAGCAGGAACTAGCCGGGAAGAGGGAGGGATGAGGGACACGTCCAGCGAGAACAGCGGGGAGGTGTCAGAAGCGCCCATAGGGAGACCCATGCTTCGCCGGAAGCTGCCACGTCGTGAGTCCAGGAGACGCGTTTCCGTTAAGGAGCTTCTATGCTGGAAGCGCTTCCGCAGACAGCCACTGTCAGACTCTACGAGTGATTAGAGCAGACATGTCTGAGGAGCTCTGTCACACACAGAGGTTTGTGGAGTCGCACAAAC